GAAATGTAAAGGATTAGCAACAAATGTATTGACCATGTTGTTATTGGATTGGATAATTCTCTTCCTAAAATAGTGCCATTCTGACCCTTAAATAGTTTTCACGTATTTAACGTTGAGGCAAATCGAGCTAGTGACAACGTCTGCCATCGTGTTGAATTTGAAATAGTAGGAAATAGGTTTGAAGCGATTTCATAACCGCTAAAGTAACTCTTTGTTTTTGAAAACGGAAATTTGTGCATCGAGTAGTCTAACACCGTTAATCTTTATTTGTATGAGCATGCTAACGGAATTCGTAATAACATAACAGATGTGAATGTTTTTTTAGAAAATTAATAACTAACATATGTGTATTTATAATGGTTATTGTAGACCTTGTACAATATATCCAAACCACCAGACTTTTTTCTGTCCTTTGGAATTTGTCACTTCATGTGCACAGTGATATAAAATGTTATTTGACAATTGAAAAATCGTTATTAGGTATCACTTTTTATATGGTAGATTGAATCTATTAAAAAATACTATATTTCGCTGTTCCTAATGTTTAAATGTTAGCTAGTTGCAGATAGTTAGTAAAAATCCTGGACCTTGGTTTCGTGCAATATGACACTTCAGCAGGGTTTACTTGTAATCTTGGGGGAATCGGTGCAACTTTGCACTCTGAGGTGTTACCTACCCACTACCTTCAAACATCTGTCAACAGAACACAGTGTACACAATGTCTATTCTCTTAGACTAATGATAACATTAAATTCGACTGAACATACCTGGCATTAGTCAGTGCTCAGTAATCAATCAGTTGTTTTTACTATTTGTTATGTCCTTAGTTATAGGATAATCGCGAAATACAACTGCCAATTTAGATACGCTGACTTATACGACCAAATTAATGACGCTTACACACGTACGAGCAACCCAGACTTCCGATTGGTCTTTTTTCCACCTAACCATGCTTATCAAGACCAGAACGCCAATCTCAGCCTCCGCATTGCGAATCCTATAAATCAAACATGCTTGGTTTATATATAAGCAAAATAACATTTGTGCAAGGTCAAGCCAGAAGTGGCCGTGATTATGAGAAATTGTGACTAATAGACTGAGAATAGTAAATCATATAACCGTGACTAATCGGTGATTTAAGAATTTATAATAAGAGGAAAATAAATATATATAGTTTAGCTGGTATTAATCCATAAATAGATCTCAACAATTTCCATCCATTTTACTTGTCGGGATAAAACACTATTTATTTGCGTTTTGTTGATTCAAGTGTTTCAAGCACTCAACAGGCCACAAGTCTGAACTGTACTTCTTTTAAATGTGTTGACGGAGGCGGTTAATGTTCCTAGATTTCGGACACAAGAATAAAGTTTGAGTCAAAAGCGTGTTTAGTTACGTTTACTTTGTAAATGAGTTGCATTTGTTACTGAAAATCTGAAATTTACCAGGTTTCGAGATATTTCTGTAAAATCGATGGACGATATATCAGAGTTATCTATTCTGTATTAGTAATTATAAGTAGAATGCGGGTCGTGTGTACATAATAACGTTTATTTTGTTCCTAATGTCAATTTTCATTATAAAATCTCAAACATATCGTATATTATTAGTTCGAAATCAGTTTACTGTTTATTTGCAACTCAAGTATGAGTGCACGAATTTGTTATTGCTTACTTTTTTATATGTCATGAACCGGTTGGTTAATTTGTTTGTACGTATACTGTGGTCTTGTGTTCTTCCAACTAAAAATGACTTAATTCCTGTGCTTTCTCATTATCACTTTGGTAATAAGCTGTTCAGTTATGCCACATCTGCTTTAGCAGTTCGTTTAAATGACTGTCTTGGTATACAATTCTGTCTTGATTTGTTCTTATCACTTCTGATTAAAGTAGGCTCTAGAGATGTCCAAACTGACAAAAAAATTTCCTCAGTTCAACGATTTAGGTGAAAGAACAAAATGTCATCAAAAATGTTCCCTTGAGCTGCAAATTGTTTTCGTAATTTCAAAATGTATGTGTTTGATCTCACATCAAGTGCATAGAATTTGCCGATAGTCTAGGTAGTAAAATTATAATGATTATTTAAAACTGATTGATTGTATCCATTAAAAATGGTGTATCTCTCTTCAAATAGATTATAATCTCAAATATATTTGTTGCTCGAATTTTCCCATTGATGTTTAGAACTCTGACTGATCGGTTTCTCTTGGTATATATGAGCCCTACGAAGATTGACTGGATGTTGCAATTTGAAGAGAGATGCATGGTGTTTAGCATTGAGCTGGAGGAAGTGCGTTTCGTCCTATTTCGAACTCGTCGGCTTGATGTACCTGTGTCCCAGAGTTGATGTTCACTCCAGGATTCGAACCCAGTACCTTTTGCTTCAAACGTCATTCTATTGTCCACTATCTGAACTCAATAGTTATGTGGATAACGTCATGGCGTTTGAAGCAAACGGCACTGTGTTCGGATCCTGGAAAGAACAACTCTGAGGTACAAGTACATCAAGCTGGCGAGTCCAAAGCGGGACGAAACGCACATCCTACATTTCACTGCTAGCTACCGTTCATCTCTTCTTAAGATCATAATCTCAGTCTGTATACTGAATGACTTATTAAACAATCGACATTGTGTCATCGTTAAACGCTGGTAATGCAATTCATAATTTAGTCGGATGCAATGAAGTGTTTCATGAACATTATCGTTATATTCTTACCACTAAAATAAATTATCACTGTTTTCCAAGTGTAAATTTTTCATACGAATACTTTTCAGTTATTTTGTAAAGCGGTAATTCAGTAGTTTAGGCGTTCAAATTTCAACCAGTAACCTGTGGCATTGAACTCTGGTCCACCCACTTAGGTTTGATGACGGGTAATATCACTAGTCCTTACACTTGAAGTGGGATTCAGAGCCAAGTACCCAAATATGTACCCGGAAAATTACTTATTAACAGTCATTTCATAATTACTTTTGGAAAATTTACTAAATATTATTTTATACATAAAAATGTCTTTATTTAACTGGAATGAAGATAAGATATACTTGTACTTGTACTTCTAAACGTAACTAGTCTGCGCTAATAATATTAATAGTTATTATTAATCCATAAAATTACTTTTAATCATCGTTTAAAGTGGTAAACCTCCTTGGGGTGAATTCCAGACATTTTAATAAGAAGCAGCTGTAGTCTGTTGAGTTTAATCACTTGGAGAATTAGACGGAACTGTACAGTAATGTTTAATATATTTTATTGTACCTTCTTTCCGTTACTCTATAACCAATGTAATTAAGTGGTTTAAGCAGTGACAATTCCAAATATGTTATCAGAATGACCTTCAAACAATCTCGAAAAATCTCAGTCAGTTGTTGGGCAGTCAGAGAATAGCAAACAGTCTGTTGAAGTATTCTATAGGTTGTTTTGTCTGTAAATCGAAAAGCGATGACATCTGAACATTCAGTTTCCGAATCTCTACAAGACTTAAGAGTTTACATATTGTCAACGGTTAGGTTTATAATTTGACCTTGCTAGTTGTGTATTTTTTTGACAATGTCTCAAATAAAATAGATTTGTTTGCAAAAGGTTTTGAAAATTATTTACTGAAAGCTCATTAACGTATGAAATGCTTCAGTATACATGGCGTTGGAGAATGATATAATTTGTAGAAAATCATTTGCTTTACATTTTGGTATTTCACGTTTCTCTCTCTATCATACACGCAAACTCACAATCACACATACATAACTTAGCATGAATAGAATCTCTGATAACTTGATAAAACCTATACTGGGTGTGCATTTATGGGCTTGTGCATGCTTATGTACGTTTCCGTGCGTTCGTGAACAAATGAATATCAATAAACCAAAAAACGTATTGTGTGCGTTTGTTGGCATAGACTATTTCATATTTTGTACATTACATCAGTAATAGATATTGATTAGTATCAATAAAATTTGTATATTACTGATTTACTTAATACAAATACTTAGCACCTTATTACTCATCATCCCTATCATAATATTGTTATTGTTATTGTCATTATTATCTCATTCACCAGGTACTTAGCTGCAAACCATACTGTACGTATAAGGGTAGTGATACGGTTACTGAAACCTTAGTGGACGGAGCAGGGTCCGAGCCTGAGACTTAGTGGCTAAACTTCGAATGCTTTAACCACTGATCCACGGTTTGAGTACTCCAACCTCACATTTCAAAACAGTGCACCCGGTGTTGAGTCGGTTAGACTAGTGAACATATTGCAACTTGGTCAATAGAATTTGATCAGCAATAAAATGGACTTGGTATATATGACATTGTTCACAATTCGGTGATCAATCAATTATAAATACATTTCAGTCCTACAGAAGATCAGTTGTGACCCCGATAGGTCAGTAAGTACTAATGTCTCTGACTGTGAAGTTAGGTGACACGGGCTCGAATCCTCCAAGAAACATCAGTTCCCTCATTATTGCAGGTACACCCTAACGAATATCAAATAGCATTAAAGCTAAGTCAAGCAAGGTTTTTTGTCAACTAACTCCAACACTTTATTTTATTACCCCCGTTCCAATGATTTTATGCTTCTATCGAATTAAAAACTTGAATCCTACTTTGAGTATATTGTCTTGTATGAAAGCTAAACGTTAGTTGTCATAAGCCAAGTTATCTGTGCGTGGTATTTGTTAAGATGAATTTTAGTATAACATATTGTTCATGCTGATTTGTGTTAAATTATGGATTGTATCTCCTGTACATTCTTGAAGAAATTACCTGTTATGACATGCCGTAAATTGTTCTGAGTACTACTTTTCATTGGTTTCAATCACCTTCAAGTACTCTATCATTTTCGTATATCTTTAAATAATCAGACGTGTAAATAATATTGGTGTTCCAGTTAAAGACGTATTATGGTACTTATTAGCATAAGTTGTGTAAGAAACTTTGACCATCTTTATCGGTTATTTATTGCCTCCCATTTTTTAAAATTTTTTTATATACAGTGTTAATCCAGTGAATTTCGATGCATCACTAGTGCATAGAGCTCGTTATTTCATTATTAAATCAGACTATGTGTACAATGTACACCAATCTATAAAATATGGTGTTTGGTGCTCAACTCGTACTGGTAATCAGTGTTTGGATGAAGCGTATCAATCAGTACATGGTTCTACCGTGACTATAACAACAACAACGACCGCCACCACCACCTCTGCTAAAAACGTCAATAGTCGTAATGATGATAATAATAATAAAGATAATACTAGCATAATCAGTGATGAATCGAAATTAGTTCATAACAGTAAACTACAATCAGATAGTAATGAAAAAGTAACGGGAATTACTTCTATTACTACTAATAATAATAATGATAAATCCTGCCCAACTAACAATCCTGTTCAATGCCCAAATGATGTGAGTTCTTTGTTCTTTCGTGCGTAATGTTACATGCAATATGTTTCTTTATTTTATTTTTTCTTCAAGAAAAAGGAAAGGAAAATCATAATATCGATTTAATTCATTTGTTGTTTGCTAGTTTCTTTTTTATACTGTTCAAAAAGAGTAATTATAATAGTCGTCGAAGAATAAGGTGAATTCATGTATTCTTAATGATGATGATAATGATTATTCAGCTGTCTACCATCTGAAGTCTTTGTGGCTGACTTTTGAAGAGGAATAATAAGATGTACACATAACTTATTATATTTGAACAGAGTTGGATGATGTCTAGCAGTGGAATTCAGGTCGCGTTTCGTCTCATTTGTGACTCCTCAGCTACTTTCACATGCATTTCAATGTTGGTGTTCACATTGAAACTAAAAAATATCACCTTTCGCTTGAGATTTCTAACACTTTATCCACTTATTAACTTGTAACGTAATCACTAAATCCAGGCAATTTGTACAAGACGTTTATGTCCCAACTTGAACTGATCGAAATTCATTCAAAATATCAACAATGAAATAATCCAAACCATTACAGATGAAATCAACAAAAGCTACAGGTTGTGACTGCATAATATAACTCATTTCAGTCAAAAAGGCAATTTAATCTCAGTGTTCATACTGAGACTCAATCCTGCTCTCTTTCATTGCAAATACATTATCGATTGACCCATGTCACCCAGATGTCCAATAGCATATTCAATGGGTGTTATATTCACATGGTTGTTATAAAGGATTTGATTATCTAATTGTTGATATTTAAATTCGGATTTTGACCATTCCTAGTTGATGTATATACATCTTGAATGGACTGTCTCAGTATAGCCATTGTGCCGCAAATTTTTTAGTATAGTATGAGACCCACCTCGTGAATTCCACTGAAGTCTATTATTTATTTGTATTTAAAAAACAACTCGTGCCTCTTTATATTTCATTCTTATGGATTTTCCATCTATACACACATACATTGTATTGTATTGTATCACAAAAATTCATCTTTTACATTATAAAGGAATTACTTTCTGCTCTTTTTTTAAATAGAAACTCACTATTCTATACAAATCTTTTAAAGAAAACCAATGTTTCACAAAGACTATATGTGTATTTGTGTATATGTGCTCTTCTCTAATTTATAACCTACTGGATCATTGTTTTTCAAAATGTTATCATAATAATATCAAGACATTATTGATGCTACTTCAGATAGTATTCCATTTTTAGTTTACCGTAGACAGATGAAAAAGAAAGGATAGAAAAAGAAAGAATTTGATTTGAAAGAAACACTATCAGAAAAATTATCGTCGAAACATTACCAGATATTTCTATTCATAGTTGTTTATTATAGTTTACAACATTAAATTCAAAAATGTCTATTGTCAAAATGTGGCTAACAACATGTTGAACACAAAACAGGTATTATCAGTTGAAATAGATGATGTCAACACAATGTTGCGAATTCATCGAAGTTAGAAATTTGAATCATTTTATTCTATCTATCAATGGTCTAAACGTTACACACATCTTATGAGACTTGAAAGTCTAGTGTAATTGATTCCTGATTAGGTCATGGCTATGCACTCATATTGAATTTCATTATAGAGTAAAATGGTTGTTCAGTATCCCCCGGGTTTTCACTGATTGTTCAGCTAAATGCTGTCAACGATATCAACTACCTTCCAACTAATTTTATTCCCTTCAGAACTTTCCTTTTGACAGTGTCTTTTGTTATTTTGTTCGGTATTTATTTTTCTTTTACCAGTCGCCTGCTGTTGTTACAACCGCACCCATCTTGTCTGTTTATTCTACCACGTGTACTATCACCACTAATACAAATACACCCAATAACAATGTAAACTTCGATACAGCTAACGTTTCAAGAACGAAAGTCAATACAAACGATCCAATTATACCAATAACAACTGTTTCTTCAACCATACCGACGGCAAATAATGGTCAGAACTCGACCAAATCAAAAAGAACTTCAACATCTACATTTAATACTAACATAAACTCTTCTCCTGGACATATTATTCTATTTTTTTCAGTTAGAGAATCTGGATATCTAACTGGAGTTGCTGAAATGATCAGTCCGGTTAATCCACAAAAGCGTTCTACAATATGGCAAGATTTACGATTTAGAGGAGAATTCGCTGTGAAATGGTTGTATATTAAAGTTAGTTATGTGTATATAACTTTTTTTTATATTAAAATTAATCTTATATGCTGTAACTTTTATAAACGTCTTACAAAATCATATTGAGAGTTCATCGTATCATGTGTTACCTAACACATAAAACTTGTCAAAATTTTACTTTTTATTCGTAAATACCTCTGGTAAGTGAACTAATCTCGAATAGTAGGAATTTTTGTCTAGAGTACCAAATCAGCACAGTTTTGGCTTATAGATTATTATTAGGGTAAAGTAAATCTTAGCTTTAGAGTGTATACTAGTTGAATATGATGCATTGTAAAATGGTACAAGGTTTTAGAGAAAAAAAGCCAACATGTAAAACCATTTTCAATCATATCAAATGTATTTTCTGTTATTATATAGATTCTGCTAAAATCGATATTCACACTTATTGTTTATTTATTTAAGCATACAAACATTGGTACAAGGAGGCACCAAATATATATGCGCCACACAAATGATTCAATTTGTGTGAGGGCTCGGATACTGTCTGGGTGCCCAAACCGAAACAAGTGATTTTCTTAGGGGGTCACTCCTCGAACCTTTGACCTACAGGTCTAATCCAGAAGGCAATGGAACAACGTCAGAAGGCGTAGTCCCATGGTAGACAGTGATCAACAATAGATTCATACGCCATTTATACTTTCAGGAGCCGACAGCCAATGTGCACCATTGGTTTAGAATCAGGGTTTCTCAACTCCCCTACGTGGATCCTCCATATCCACCAACCCGATTAAATTTTCGGACATTCTCTTTTTATCCTCTCAATTTAATGAACAACACCCCCACCACGAGAAGGCAGTGAGTAAGACCTCTCTTCCAGTGGCTGTATACGCGTGGCCATGTAGGAGCATTTCAAGAGGGAGCACGGACTCTCCATACTCTCGGTCGTAACAGGGTTAAGTTACAACGTTAAGTTACAGAATAAAATGGAGTGTGAAATATGACTAAGAAAAACTTAGACATTGTTAAACCGAATTACGAGGCACTCATCAGTAGTGAAATTGTGTCTGTATAGTTTGATTCTCTAAGACTATCTAGTTTCCTTACTTATTAAAATCATAATGAAGAAACCTAGATGATATAAATATTGTAAAATTGAGTTATCATCGTTACTACTAAGTTTATTTGCCGGTAAATAATGTTTTATCATTACACACTACTTAATTGCTGTTATTCATTTACCAAATCAATTTTTTATAAGTATGAATGCTAACAGTATACGACCCAGTTTCACTTTAAACAAACTGCATGAAGTTGTACAAGTGGCTTAACCGATAAACGATCACTGTTACGTGACTTCTTTACTCTATATCGGTATCATAGACGTCACCCAGTTGGATTGTACAATGATTTTGTCGACAAGCCAATAAATCAATTCATGTGCTTGTCTTTCTTACCTCTCTCTCTCTCTCTCTCTCTCTCTCTCTCTTTATATATATATATATATATATATATATATATATATATATCCCTTAATTTAAAATAAAGGTTACCAGCTGAAAATTACATGTAATTAATATAATGTATAGTTGGAGTCTCTATGTATTATCTGAGATAATAGTCACATTATGATTGTTGATAGTTATTGTTTACGCATGGCTGTGTAATTATGAAATAAACAAACGATAGGATAAAATGTATCAACACTGTTATTTTTATGTATGCAAATCAAGTCATGCAACATTTAAAAGAGAAAGTTATTCTTGAATGATTATTTTCACGGTTTCATGCAGTAGTTCAGTGGTGAAAACATTCAGCCTTCAGCTACTATGTCGCTTGTTCGAACCATTCTCCACCTACTTCAGTTTTGGAAAGCGGGTAGTACCTTTAACTTCTACACTTAAGTTGTTACTCAAAGTTGAATTCGCTTATCTTAATCCGGTCAATGATGAGAAAAACTTATGAAGTTTTACAATATGTATATATACAAATATAATGTTCCTCCTGCGAGTCTTATTGTTTTTCCGGTTCAATAGGTTTCAGGTTTCATTCAAACTATCATATATATGTTGAGAATTTAAAGTATTTTTATGAGCTATAATTAAATAATGTAAAAAGGTAGTTGAGGATCTGTAATATTCAGCGAACGGATGAATGGATTATGCCATCAGTCATTGTTATAATTGTTTGACTGATATAGACTGATCGATTTCAATTCTGAATATCAACACACGCAAATTAATAAATTGAATTTTGTTATTCTACTTAACAGTATAAAATTATTACCTTGATAATTACCTGGATCTTTTAGACGAAAACTATTTAGTCTACAGATTGAAATACTCATAATTATGGTATTAAGATCTTTCAGGGACAGTAGGTGAAAGAAAATTCTACTAGTACTATTATTATTACTCTAATTATTGTTCAGTTACTAGTTTTCTCGCGAAATATTTAAATTTTTGACTCGTTTCTGGGTTTTTTTTCGTTGAATTATGTATTTTTTATTCCCATTCACTGTTTTTTTCTCATTTCGTTTGGTTTCTTCTCTTTATCCCCCCCTTAAATTGTTTCATCAACCATAACAGCATATTCCGAACCATGTCATTAAGCATATCTTAGTTGAATGCTATGACAATCGTCCGGTTACAGTGTTACGTGATACTAGTGAAATTTTACCACCGTCTAAGGGGGAAGAATTACTACGTATTGTACATGAATATGGATTATCTACATCATCATCACTACCGAATATGTCATCGTCATTGTCAACATCATCATCATCTCATTCGATTGGAGGTGCTAAATCATCGACCAGCAAAATTGGTAACAATCATAATTTTTCAACCAATACAAATTTGACTAATTCAAATGGATTAAATAATCATAAGACTACTAATACGAGTAGTACTTTGATTGTTCCATCATCTACCATCTTTAATAATAACAATAACACTACTAATAATAGTAATAGTAAGAATATCGTCCCTTCAGTGAGTATATGTTCAACGACTCCTGAGAATTCACATGTTACTACTAATGTGTCGAATAAACATAAGAATAATTCTTCGTCTACAATTGTATAAATTATCATATGATCCTCTCACTTAATTTCTTCTATTTCGTTAACTTCGGTGATATATATAATATAAATATGTACAGTTTTCTTTTTCTAAATGAAGTCGTCAATTAGATATGTGTCATCTTCAAGTTTATTCCCAGAATAAAATAATCCTATTCATTTCTTGAGTATCAACTTTTATATACTACTGAAAAAAAGCAGTTTCGTATCTTTGGTAAGTGAAATAGTGTTCTTTTTTTACGTTAAAATTATGTGTTTAAACAGTTATTGTGTATGATACTATGGGTTTTTGAAGATTGTTGAATTTTATAGTTTGTATCACAAACTGAATTCAGTTAAATAACTTTTGAAAATCGGGATGCACTGGACAGCGGTTTCATCCTAGTGTTGGATGACTTATCGACAGTGAGAATCTGTGACCAGTGAAGTTCGTTTTGGTAGGATGTCGGGCATTCGCCCACCAAGAACATTAAGAGGTGATTACGCAATATCCCGAATACACCTCATTCAGGAATATGAACCACTGAATTACTAACACAGTGGTCTAAAGCTTAAGCGCTTAACACAAGACCTCAAGGTCCTGGATATTAATCCCCGATTAAGTTGTAAAAGCATACTTCTGCGAAGTCTCATTCTAGGACGTAACAGATGTCTGGTGATTCTTGATCTTAACCACTAACTTGTGTAATGTCATTTAAACCAGTTAAGTTATTATTTCACCACTTAATTGGCTTATTATTTACGTACCCAGAGTCATCGTCGACATTTCTTTTTTGTTAAATTAAATCTATCTACGTATAAATACACATGAGTTCTAACTACTCTAACTCAGTATATTGCAGTACAGATTCCCTCAACAGTTCTATCTTCTTACTCTTTGTCTAGTTCAGCTAATCGATTGTTTAGGAGCATAGATATTAAATAACTTGTAATATTTAGATTCCATGAAAAAATTATGTCAATCGGTTCCAAAGATGTCCGCCAACCTACGCATTTATTGCTGCTAACTTTGTACACGTGAAGTAGCATAACTTAAAGCGGAATATATACATTCTAGAATTAATAACTCAAATATTGTTATTAGTCAAATGTAAACATCAAAGCCTGCTATCCTGGTTTGATTATTATTTTCACAAAAAGTCATGCCTTCATTGTATATCGACTTCAAATAGATAGTCATAGGAAATCAGTGGATCACCGATTTCTATCAATTTCAAACTCTTCAATCTTACATGTTTAGCACCTTCATCTCTTATGCTAATGAATACGTTATTGGTTTATTCTTATCTCACTACTTACTCTTTTTTGACCGCTTGGAGTCAAGGTTTCTTACTAGAGTTCTGAGAATACATTTTAAGCCCAGTTAACTTGTAATAAACGTACAGTTATTGATTAGCGTAATGATTTTCTTAAGATAACTATCATCAGAGAAAGTCATTAAAAGCTGGTCGTAACTGGCAGAGTTCAATTATGTCAAGAGTAAAATATCTCTTTATGTTCATCACTAATTAATTGTCCATCACTTAATTTCAATCTTAATAGTTTTAGTATATTATACTAGCCACGAGACATGAAATGATTCAATCCTGAATGTATATACATCATCAAAGAATCCGAATTTTTAAAAAAAATAAACAACTGCATCCAGTTTTGCCTGCTTTTTTATTGCTTATACAACCAATATTGATTCGTAAAACAAAGAATACCATCTTCAAATTGGACTAGTCCTCCTCGAAAATCATTACTTTGGTGAGACTATTAATCATAAACGAACCAGTCAAATTCAAGATATTGCCTCTTGGACTTTTGCCCAAAATGCTTTTATCCATGTGACTACAATGCCTTATTGTATTAGAGCTTATTTAATTTGGTGATGAGAACCCTAACTCTTATTTATAACCCAATTTTGAAACTAATAAGTGATTAAAGAGGAAGAATGTATTTGTAAAATCTCAGCGAAAGAATTTTGAATTAAATCCAACGTTTCCCCTGGCAATCTGGTCCAAGCTAATAAGTGATTAAAATTTCTTGAGATCACTTAAGAATCGTTGGAGAGTTGTCCATCAACTACAGTCGCGTCGAAAGATTTTTTTTCCCTTTCATATTTCATCATAATTACATCATATTTAAATAATTCCAGCTCTTAAAAGTTACCAGTTTTTATTGATTTCTGATTAATTGATTCAAAATAGCTACTTACCTACCATATATTGATTACTTTTTATTTCTCGTACACAACAAATTATGTTTTATCTAGAATGCAGATTTTATGAATGTTCAGTCTGTTTAATAGTATATGTTATTTTAGTTGCGAAATGAACTCATCAAATTCATAGACAGTTCAAGACCAAGGTCATCAATTGCGTCGTCCGTGTCATAACCATGGTAACAGAGGTCATTCCAATAGTCACCGATTTGAATGAACTTTACTATTATTATTTGTTGGCATGATTACTTAATAGTTTCGTGTGTATGTGTTTAGTTATTCTATGACTCATTTATTGTATTTAATGGTGTTATATGTGTTATAGGAGCTAATGATGATAGACAATAACGAAACCACTGCAATTAAACCATCTAGCTCGTAGAATACGTCACTAAAAGCATCTACATGAACTGCATATTTTTCCTTTCATATCGTCATTAAGTGAATTATTAGTTTTCTTTTTTTTCATTAAAGTGGATAGACCTACGAAAGTACAATGTGTCATGTTAAAAATACAGTGTTATCATTAAGACAGATAGTAAATTTAAGGAAATATTTCCTGGAAATAAGCTTGGACCAGATTACCAGGCGAAATGTTGTATTTACTTCAGATTCTTTCGCTGAGATTTTACAAATACATTCTTCCTCTTTAATGTCTCACATCAACTCAGCGCCCAAATACTGTGAAACTATTCGATCAAATTTAGACGAAATTTCTTAGTAAACTATTTATTCATCGTTCATTACGTTTATGAAATCTCTTCTCCTTAGACTTCTGTGATCACTTTTTAAATTAATCAAGTTCATCACAATTAGTTCATTTTCGTTAATAAATCCTTCACGATGATGTTTAATCCTGCATGCGATAGTATTCAAGTTTATCTTAACAGATAAAGTCAAATACTGACAGAGACAGGTTATACTGTATTGTAAAAGTTGATTACAGAGAAATGTAAACTCGTACAACTAGTGAAAACAATATATATTTTCCACACAATATAACATATAACACACAAGCTATCATGACCTTTTGATAGTTCACCTGATAGCACTTCTCTAATACACATGAAACAACAGTTTATTGTTAAAGAATTCCGAAATGCACCAGTTATTTTTTGTCTTTTGATGGGGAAAACCTTTGCTACGGATTGAAGTTATCTGTAGAATGATTAGGAGCTATCAAACACTAGACAAATTAGCTTGTTTTGTTCTAATCTGGAGTTTTACTCATGATCTTGGACTGTATCAATTCTGAAGACTCTGCTTTTTGCTGAGACCAAGTTGCTCCTAGACCATCAAACTTATAATCCAGCGGCCGTTCTTTATTCCTTTGTATCAGTCAGTTAATCATAATCAAAGTATACCGTCACACAAATTCCCACTGCCTTTAATTTTCTTGCTACTTTCGCACAACGACATTAAATTACTAAGATATATACCAAAGGAATCGAAATAATGCAGTAGTAATAACAATGAGAGAAACTGGACATTGAGAATATGATACGAAAAGACAGAATAAAGACGTATACATAAATAAGTACTAGAAATCAAGATCTGAAGGAAACTATGACATGAATATACTTTATCCACTGTGACGGATTCTGATTGTTATTCCTCGGACTTCAGTTTGGCAGTCTTCATCTACCAAGATGACTCTGATCAACATTCAGTAACATCACGGAGTGATCCCATGTTTTAGTCTCGGTGCTCCCCTTCCAACCTAGTTCTTTACTAGCGGAGATCGTCCGCCGAAATAGGCGGTTTACAAGCATATATAATACACGTCCCAATTACTTTAATTTATAACTCTATCAATTGATTCTCCATCCTGTCTTAGTGTTCTATGCCTGATTTGAATACCGTCCTATCAGGCACGTATGGTTGTATCCTTGAATCCCACTCATGTTTTCTACTTTCATAGACCATAGTTTATAACCACAGGGTATTACAAAGTGTAGTGCTCTGTAGTATACTCATCCATAGGTTGGAAGACGGACATTTCAAAAATGACACAAGAGGCCGACCGATCTTTCTGAATCGATGACGTTATTTTGTCAGACACCACCGTTCGTTACTACTTCTGCTGTTGCTGAATAACTAAAAAAACATTCCCACGTATGTCTCTTCAACCTCCACTTTATATACGTGTTGAAGTAGGAATCAATACTAAAACTTATCATTAACAGAATTAATAGTCGGTCACAAAATAATCAGGTTGTTACCACATTTAGTTTTAATCATTTTAAATGTTTCCTAGTCGTTTTGTGGACAATATTTAATAGGATAAATAGTTAACACTCAAAACTTACGTTTTTTCATCATATCACGTAGACAGAACTTCCCTTGATAATTTTTAAATACCAAGGGCGGCACAAGAAAATCGCTCCATTAGTAGTAGGCACTCACTACCCCCTATCAGGGATATAACATCAATACGTTTAAGTTTCACAGTGATTATCTCACTGAGTTGATGTTCAATGTTTCACATTCCTTAAATTTATTCATTTCACTGTACTAAACAACCATCATCCATTTTCATCAGCTATATCTATCTCATTACTGATTTGTTTAGAATCACTTTAGGGGTATGAATTATCGACAGAACTTTAAGGATTCTTTTATGATTCATTAGTGATCCAGTATATTATTATTAACTCTTATTCATAAAACATATTATTGTTCTCTTTTGATCTGAATAATTTGAGAAATAATTCCTTTCTATCATATGATCCAAATTCTATTCTAAATAAGTTTCTTATCACATGGTATAACAAGAATCATACATTTCATTCCATAGATGGCTTATAATTATATTGTCTGATACTTTAAATTGGATAATAATGAATCATAATAAGTTTAAGCTTTCATCTTTATTGTTACAAATTCCACGCCTTTATGAAATGATTAAATAACTTCCATTTGTACGTTTTCAACTTATTACTACACATATGTATACATGCTTGTTGCATTTAAAAGAGAGAGCTATTTGTCAATAATGTATTTCTTGTATTTAATACTTCGATTGTTAAACATGAATATTACTTATAAGTTTGATTACTTAATTTATTTAAAAGTAGTTATAAGAATGTAAACAACATTACTTAAAACAAAATGATACTTGAGCATAATTCCACACAACATATTAGTTGTATTTCGCATTCTCCAGTTAAATGTTTTAAGGAATTACTTAATTCTTAAAGTCGTACATGTTTGGTAATAATGATTTTCTAAATTTCTGATAGAATTTGAATCTCCCTCTGTTTCCATTGCTTACCATATCTTTATTTATTTATTTATTTTAACACATAGATATTGGTACAAGGAGGCACCAAATACATATTGCGCCACACAAATCTCATTCGATATGTGTGAGGGCTGTGATACTGCCCGGGTGCCCAGACCGAACCAGGTGGTTTTCTTAGAGGGCCACATTCCGAGCCTTTGACCTAAAGGTCTGATCCACAAGGCAGTGGAGCATCGCAAGGAGATGCAGTTCCATGGTAGCCGGTGACCAACGATTGGTTCATACGCCATTTGTTCCCTCAGGATACTGGAGCCTATGTGCACCATTGGTTTGGGATCCGGTTAAAGCTCCGGACATTCGCTTTTCGTCCTCTCGATTTCGTAAACAACACCCATGGTGCGAGAAGGCAATGAGTAGGACTTCCCTGGCAGAGGCTATATACGCGTGGCCATGTAAAAGCATTTCGAGAGGGAGAGCGGACTCTCCCCACTCTCGGCCGTACCAGGGCATTTGGGGGCTTATCAAGCATCGAAGAATGTAGATGATTTATAAGTCCAATAAAGAGGATTACAATAGGCTAGAAGTGTTGGGGATACAAGATCCCTAGAAATCAATTGGTAAACGTCTCATTTTTACATCATAAACGCCTATTTTTACCTTCATTTTATATTTTCCACTTGGAAGAAACTTAAATGTCATTGGTTCGTTTCCTTTCTTACTAAGTTATTTTGTGACTTTGTCCAAGGATAATTTGGGAGTGTATTATAAACCCTTTGGTTGTGTGTTTGTTCGTTCATGCTTCTGGCTGCTTGTGGAATGTATTTTTTTCCGGGCTGGATCAGGTCTTCTCCCTTGAGTTATCAGGTATGTGGCTCAGTGGAATAACGTAGCTTGTCCTGTTACTGTATTATTGACTTCGTCCCGTTTCACTGGTTTTAAGTGATATCGTAATATTTTCAAACGTAGCAGGGTATTAGCTTTTTATTTACACTGAGTAGCTTACAGAATTCCTTCATAGCAATGTCATTTTCAGCTCCTCCTAAGCTTTCATTCTTTTTCCTCGATGACCATCAGTTCCCGATGAATACGCAATCTAATCCAATCAGAAATTTGTAAACAATGTAAAATCATTTACCAACTGTCACAATTTCCTTGTGGATAATTCGTTTTCTAAGTTTTCGTTTGATAACTTTTTAGTAATAACTTTGTATGATCAATAACTAACTAACGAAACGAGTATATTTAAATAAATATCTCTCTTATTAACATACTGTTGCGGTGTTTGATCTTCAGGTAACGGTCTAATTACTGATGATTTTGTTATTCGTAGTTTGGAACAACACATAAGCGAACAACATTATTTTTAATTTAATCTTCATCAGACTTTACGCTAATATACAAGAATATTTTCGTGCGTATGAAACTATTAACCCAATCAAGACAGTTTATGAGTCAGTGATCATCGAAGGTCATGTGTTTGATTCCCAGATATGGGTTTGTGGATATGCACTGATTAAAAGTTCCATAACATAAAGAAATGGCCGTCTGATTTTTTCAGGTTTTCAATTGTGGTCAAACTAAGGTCAGTTCATGATTTAAACTATGATAGCTTTACAATACTTTAAAACTCTCCTATACTAATACTGGGCGTATGATAAATTTATAACAAGTTCTGGAACAGTAAATTAAGTCTAATGAAAACTTACATTTGGAGAGATGTGGAAGTCACATGAAATAATTGTTACTAATTACGTATTATGAAACAAAAGCATTGACGTCCCTAAAAATAGCTTTATTATCCACTCGTACTTTTCTCGTCCTATTGATATATATATATATATATATATATATATATATATATGATATAAAATGTCACCTTATCTTTGTTTGTAGACCCTCAGCGACTACGAATTATGTAGAAAATTTAAATACGTTCGAAACGATTCAAATGGAATGTCAAACATTTACGTGTACGTGTTAATTCATTCTCAAGGTTGCATGTATGTATTCTGTAACCATGTTAAATGGTAGCTTAATAAAATCTCTATTATAACATTTCCCTCATGATGCTGAGTGGTTCCAGTATTTCACTTTCTATTTAATACATCAAAATACAATAAACTTTGACATATTTTCTTATTGTTAAACAGACTGACTGCTGACAGTTTTACATGATTTACTACTTCATATTGTTCAATCCTTTCTTCGTTAATTTCCTTTCCTCTGCGTCACTATATTTCTCATTCACCTATTAAATCTTTATAAACATTCTCTACTTGTTCGGAATTATATATGTATCGATTTCTATTTGTGTCCGGGCATTGTGTTCCAGGCATTATCATTGTGTTTTCCCTGTTATTTGTGATTTCATCCCTTTATATTCTGCTTGTTGCCTTTATTTACGAAAAGACGGTTTTTTTTAAAGTTTTGTTTTCTTTAAATCATACTTTATTATTAAGTGACTTAGTAACTACAATCGATTTTGTAATAATCTACATGTACACACACACATATATACATGAATTATTGTTTGGGTAAATTTTGACATTTCGTGTGTTCAGTTTAATTTTCTTCTACATGTACATCTGTTTATTAATGGGTCCATGTGTGTGTGTGTGTGTGATGATGATAATGATGATGAATAAGTTGCTAAACACTAGCATATACGTAAACGATTACTCTATATCAACAGCACATCATAAAGCATCCATACCTTTTTTGCTATATTTGTCTGTTATCCATTGTTTATACACATATTATACATCTGCGCTCTACTTGCCACATTCTGTTCTGTTGTCATATTTTTGTTATTTCTTGGACATCTTTTTTATTATTATTCTACTACATTATTAGGATGGAATCCAAGAGAGTTTTGTTCTACCTTTTCGATCCTATTTGACCTGTTATCTTTTGTTTGTTATAAATAAACTCAATTTACAAAATACATATTCGATGATGACATATTAACTATTCTGTTTGTTGTATCCGTTCGTGGTTGTTTGTCTCTGTTTATGTGTGATGCATACTTGATCTGTTCCACCTAACAGATTCACTTCACTTGTTTATGTTTGTATTATTATTACTCTTGTTAACGATCATTTGGTAACTGGATTAAAAACCGACTTAAGATGTATAAATTTGTTTTTGCTACATTACTCTACTGCACTGCCCCCTGAACATTAATCAATACATAATCATCACTATTTATCATTGTTCTTGCTTGTAAGCAAATTTCAGTCTTTCATTCCATGTATTGGTTATTCATAGGTTTGTTTGTTTGTTTGTTTTCAGTTTATGTGTTTATTTTCCTTTAGTCAGTACGATTACGCAATTACTTCTATTATTATTATTATTATTATTATTATTATTATTATTATTATTATTACTATGGATAATTACTTGTATAAGATTAGTAGTGGGGAAGAAGCATTGTCGTTTGATTTTGTTATACATTTTATGAGATTATTTTCTAATCCAGTGCCTTCCAACTCTCAATATCTTTTTTTCTTCATATGCCTACATCCTACTTAATAAACGCTGTACATTACTCTCTGTCTTATGCTCTACACAAAATATACATATAGTAGTTTAACGTCGTTCATCAGTTGTATGATAACTCATCCAAAACGACGAACAGTTGGTTCAATATATCTCATTACTTCACTTACACACACACACAGATATTTATCCATTTGTGAAATAAATTTAATTTCATATTAAATCTTCCCATGTTTGATGATTATTTACTCATTGTTGGTCTGTTGGTTCACTTCTCTTCTCTCTTGTTTCCTATATATCGTCTTTATCTGTTTTGCTTCGTGTTTTTTTTCGTTTCATATTAAATAATGTGATTCCTACAATTTTTTACTATCATTATTACTATTATTATTATCATTGTAATTTTGTATTGCTTTCTGACTTTTCCTTCGGTATGTTTCAGAAAATCCTTTATCCTAGCGAGAACCTGAATTTATTTTGTTGGTTATCCCTTCTGCTTTTATATTTTTTATTGTGTTACACCTACTTTGATGATAGTGGCTATCTTACCGGAGACCAACAGTTTGATCGGAAAATCTAATGTATCTGTCTGGATTATGAGAAGTTATTTCTTGTTTTCTTCACTTCTCTTGTGTGTTCGTTTATCTACTTACTTTGAAATATAAAGAAAATAATATCCTTTCTCTTTGTGTACTCTCTCTTTATATTCAACTTCCGTACAGTTTACATAAGTAAATTGTCCAGATATATACAATGAATTATATGTAAAAACTTCAATTGTATAAGACATAGTTTGATGTAGAAGATGAAATCGTTTTTATTGTGTTATGCTTTATTCTTTTCTTTTGTTTACCTGTTGCTTCGTTCTGTATCTGTTTTTTTCTCTCTTCTAATTTTGTTCTTTTTTTATTTATTCTTGCTACGGCGCATGTGCCCCCGTCCTCATTCGCTACGTACAAATCTTTCATTTTTGATGCGTTTCTCTCTGTCGATCTGTTAATTTATCTTGATAGTCTTTCGATTTGTTAGACGTCTTATACTATATTTCTTTTCAATCTTGATAATTGAAAGAAAAAAAAACGAAATGTAATATGTTGTGGAATTTTTATTCTATGAAGAAAGACCTTTCTGTGACACAATTCTTTAATTGTATCTTTGTTAGATTAATTGATTTGAGGTTACCGTGATTGATCCAATGTTCAATTTTTTTTTAATTCTTTGTAGACAAACTTCGTAGTTAATCATAAGTTATGTAGGAGTTGATTCGAGTTTGTTACACTAAATCAACATGGTTAGATGAAATTTCCGATGTAAATCTTGGAGCAGTATAAGTGGTAGCAATATCATCACCAGTTGTAGTAGAAAATATTAGGTATAAATAGTATGATTAGCAAAGAATGAATGAATTTGTAAAATTAAATAGTGTATAATATTTAAGAAACTTGGAGCTTGAGGAAGGTAAAAAGTTAATGTATCTTATTCATTGTGAGCCATGTGATCCAACATGTCAAACTACTGGTTATGATAATTAAACGAACCTCAACTAAATAGTCTGCTCCTACCTACATAGCTCAGTTTATAGACTGATTTTGCGTCTTTATTGGACCTCCTCTACATTTCTCCAAACCTACTCTTACTAGTCAATATCGCTCTTTGAGGTAGATAGTGGTTGGAATACATAATGCATATCCCAACCACTTCAGTTAAACCTTTGTCAGTTTGGTGAAAAAATTCCAAATTTAACAATAAAACTTCATTTAACCAATAAAATCTATGTGTAGATAGGGAAAAACGATTAGGTTCTGGTTTTTGCATTGAGAAGTCACATTTTAAGTAATGCTTCATCAATGGATAGCTATACTCTATGATGGATGAAAGATAAATCACCCTAAGGAGAGTGTTGTTTCCGAAATCGCTATCATTTATACTTTTTAAAGTCTCATTTTAGAAAAATAATACCAAGTTTTATGTAGACAGAACTATTAACCATTAATGATGATTATATTTTCCGAATTGGAAGTGTTTTAAATTATTCTACGAGATAAAAATTAGTTATATATGTAATGAGGCATGAAATTTCAGTCATACTAAGTTTTACATTCAGTACCAGTCACTTATACAAATAAGTCTTTTGATACTAGAATTTGGATGTATTTTACATTGAAGGACTCATTTACACACAATAAACTAAATTCAGCTTCTGAGCATGATTGAATAACTTTAGTTGAGAGTTGTTCATGTAATTTTACTTATCCTCGATATTGCTAACCGTTCTGATATAACCTCAGATCAATTGTTATAGATGAGTGCAAATAATAAGACTTTTAAGGAGGAATGGTGATAGACTGAATAATCCCAGCTGGATCATTTAGTTTGCTGCCCCAAGGACACATGGTAAATGAGAGACGAAAGTTGTAGATATACTATCAGAAATAAGTGGACTATTCACATAGCCAAGATAACCAAATGCATACCCTTGTCTAAATCAGTCCGATAGCTTATATTTATCCATCAGCTTTTTTGTTTTATTATTCTGCTTTGGCGATAAAGTTTTCCGCTTAGTCCAATTAATAGGCCATTCAACTGTTCATTGGTAATTAAATCGGTAAACAGAATACCATACATTATGCCCTAAAGAAGCTCGAACCAAACTTGTGAGCAAAACATCAGGATTATTTTAATCTCAATATACTCGGTGTCCAACTAGTTCGAAAGTGTTTGTTCAAATTCCGACACAACATATAGAAGCTTTCCTTTCAGTTACCAAAGTTTTCGATGTTGAAGCCTAAATGGAATTCCGAAGGTTGTCATTGACTTTGAATAAATAAATTACCATTAAGCTAGTGATTTGTTTGATTCCTTTTCAAATCCTAGCGAATGATATCATGTCATTAAGCACACTTTTACGGCAGATCAGCCGCTTTTACATTTTCTCGTTCCTTGCAGATCATTTCATACTCCTCTTAACGATGTTTTATGTTTAACTGGCTTTTTAGTTGTTGAGAAAGTATGTGATATAATGACATTCCACGTAGTCGCTTCTGAAAACCTTAAGTAAGTATAAAATCATAGTTTAAGAATGTGATTAGCTGTCGCTGACCATAAATTTTCGGTTACTTATCACTTGTTGTTGGTAATATTATTTTTTCTAAGACATAAACAATTTTCCCATCAACCACGCAACCACTTTTTTTACTATATCTATAGGTCAACCGCATTTGGTACTGGTCCAAAAGTTTTAGTACTATCTATGCAAAAATGCTCTGGAATATTGTTTTGCTTACCTAATAGAAAGAATAATCGTTGGCCATGGTGACGCTTGAGGAGAAAGTTTAGAGTTAAAAGTCGAGGCTGAATGAATAATAGTAATTGATTATGATTACAGTGATCTTGAGTGTCGTTAGAGATATGAGAGCGCTTT